CGGGAGAGTCGACAGTGAGACTAGTTTTGGAGTTTAGGGATTTAATCAGGAAAAATTCAGAAATTGCTACGAAATTTAAAAGAAATTTAGTGGACTTATGCAAAGACTTTTTTGCCATACGTGACTGTGAGACGGTATTCTTCCACCTCTCCCCCAACCCATCCCTCCTTACGGCCGCGTAGGACAGAAAAAGTGGGCGGAGTTGCAGTGTCTCGACTGGTCTCAGAATCCAATATTCTAGGAACAGCTACGATGGTGAGGTTGGTGGTCGAGCGTGGGAAGGGTCGTATCGCGAGACCTCTCGAGGCTGAGTATGGTGGTGGTGGGTGGAGAAGAAGGTCGTATCTAAAACCCTCTAAACGAGGGGTCGTTAAATTTGAAATAAAAGCGCGAACGTGACGGCTGACCCTGCCCCTCCTGCCCCCGATGTCGATGGAGCTTTGCTGAGCTAGAAGCGTAATTGATGGAGTTGTATGGAAGTAGATTTATGATAGGGGTGTCGCAATGAGCAGACTTTTCCCCACAGCGCCCCGTCGAACCTGGTTCGCGCCCTAGAAAATCCCACGGGAAACCCCCTGAGTAAGGATGAAACGAACCAGTACCCAGGTTCGCAAGTTCTATTAATATCGACTTTGAAACAGGGATTTTTGAAGCCGAGAAAATAGAGATGTAAAATTCTAACTTTCTTGAACTCCTCTGGTGAAAGATCAGAGAATTGTGTGATTCCATAAACAGCTGTTCCCTCTTCATTTTCTTGCCAGGTGCGAATTGCCTGTAATACAAATCAATTTAAAGATGAACCACTGGCGCAGTGGTGAAAAGTACCGGCATGCACATGAGTTGGATCGATCTCAGTTGCGAACAATTGTATGTGAAGGATTAAATTTCTTAAAATGGGCGCTGATGCGCTATTTCTTTACATGCGCATGCTCAACATATCGGCAGCCAAGTCAATTAGAAAAACTTGATAAGGATCAAATTTATGGCACAGAGTACTGCAAAGGCCTCCCCAAGACTCAAGGACTGCCTACCCCATTTCTATGAGCGAAGTGCAATAAGACATCCAATCATTAAAGGTTCCATCTATTCAATAATTCCCACATTCTCCATTTCTCTTATCCCCTCGCTATTTATCCAATTTTTCTCGTCTTCGCAGATTCGCGGATTCTGCAGTTGCCAAGTGTGATCACGTTTGTTTGGATTCCGAACAACGCTTACATGTCGAAAATGATTCCCTTGAGCCAATTCAAAATGTGGCAGCAGTCACAAGACGCGTGGGTTGATTCGCTCGTTCTTGTCGCCGCACATGGCCGACGCGCGTGGCCAGCACCTCTCCGGCAGTTCACCTGATGTCAGCTGAGCAACGCTTTCCGCTACCTTCTAGATTTACCAGCGCCGAAAAGAACGTAGTCAGAAAGGGCTAGTCCTAGGGGAAGTTATTAAGGCCGATGTCAGACTTTGCGAATCGAGCGATTCGCTAGCGTCTGCGGTCGCGTCGCGGCCAGTGAATCACTCAATTGGCTGGTACCGCAACGCGACCGCGGACGCTAGCGAATCGCGCGATTCGCAAAGTCTGACATCGGCCTAAGGCACCAATGTGGAATTTCGAAACAGTCGCGAGGACTATGCTTGGAGACGCAGACGACAGAGCGCCGAGCTGCATCGTGGCCCTATCCAAGTACGTTAGCACCAAGAAATTTCAGAAAGAGGCACAAAGTGCAGGTCATTCTGAGTCACGTTATGCACAAATGTACCTTCAGATTTCGTTTGAAGATTCGAAATCGTTTCAGCGCTTCACGTTTGCTGCTGTAGATCTTATCATGCCTGAAATCCGATCCTATTGCACCAGTCGGAATTACAGATACCTTGAAACTCAGTTACTCTTCACAGTCTAAGAAGCGGTTATATTGTACTTCTACGGTCTTTATACTAATCATCCTACGAAAGTGACCCAATTCCTTGAGTAATTCCTCTTAAGAGTTGTTGGTTATTTTCCGTAAAGTTAAGAAAATGACCTGTCGATGAAGTCAGTGAATTGATTCCAAGGCACGTAGTCCTTTGGCTTGATGTGTCGGCTTAGTCTGGTGTATTCGATGGAGCTTTTTCTGTAAAACTTACTCGCTAGGTTGGAATCACAAAAATAAAACGCATAATAAGTCACTTGAATTGACGAAGATGTCTGAAGCACCCATGTTGCCTCGGACTATCAATAACGCTAATTATGACTAGAAATGGCGCTCGCAATCATTTACGAATGCAACAAAAACCAACAGGGAATGGGCGTGAAGAAGTGAGGCGCAGTTTGGCGGACCAGAGAGCAGTAAGGGAAGAGCGGACGCGACATGGAACGCGACGTTAGCGACTGGTGCAAATAAATTCAAACTGCTCGTACTTTCCTCGTCTTCTGCTCATACGAAGTGTCCCTACCTCCGCTGTGGTGAACGCATTTTTCTCACTCGCGGAAAGGATCGTTCAATGAAATAATCGTAAAATGTACTTCCAACGTCAAAGTAGTCTCAGATCTCATTAAAGCATGCCCCAGGATCACATTGGTGTGGCTCTTGTACACGAATGCGAATGTATTGGTGGGAAGTGGGCCGGCAGTAAAGAAAAAAGGAAAAGAATCCGTCAAAAACGCTTAGGTTAAGGGCTCACTCACCTTCCTAATCGGCTGTGCTAAGGGAATGAGAGACTAAGCGCGGAGAGGAGAGTATGGGGCGAGAGAGCGCTACAGATGAGAGATCGCCAGACAACAGCCTGATAAGAAAAAAAGTCTGCAGCTTGGGCAGCTTACTTTGCAAGGCCCAAGCTCTTATCGGTGGTTTCCGTGCACGGGAACGCCACATTTGTGATTGTCCTCTAGGGGTCTATACTACAGACCGAAGAGAAGCGTTCACACGACCTCTGCCTGGGTTGTGCCTTTCAAGTGGACAGCGATGCCGCATTGCAAAAGCTTCGCCCAGCATTAACGACCGCGAAAATTAGTTTTTCCGCCACACAAATTCATCGATCCCTTTTAAATTTTTCATTTCTCATTGGAGTTTTTTATTTATTTATTTATTTACTTGTTTATTTATTTATGCGCCCAAATGACTTTTAGGGACTCCTTGGGAGATAACAGAGAGCTGTCCCATACAAAAATACGAAGGTACTAGCTGCCACGAAAATGGTCTAGTGGCAAAGAAATCACCACCAAGTGCGGATGTTTTCAACGAGAACAAAAATTGAACACATTACTGGGCCAATCCAGCTATCATACTAGGACAATTCGGGAAAAATACTACGTCTATTTAAAAAAGGTAATCGTATGGGTCGTAGAAATCTAACGCTTCCAATAATAGAATCTCGGACAACTGGCCCCAGTCTCAAATGTCCAATTCTGGATTTCAGCAGGGAAAGTCAGTGAGAGTGAATTCTCTGGGGGAACATTCATTTTTGATACGAGATTGCACTGGCTTGTTTGTGTCATTCAGCTCTTATCGAAGCACGATAAATCAAAGTCGTTGCATGATTAATGAAACAATACGAACTTTTGTCTCAGAAGCAAACCCCACGATAGCCAAAGTGTGGATGTGTTCAAGAAGACGAAAATTACTAGCTAAATTGATGAGTCGTGCAAGAAAAGCTATGGAAACCCATGATTTAGGGCCTTAGTGTTGTAGTCCATTAGGACATGAAGTACCGCGAAGAACCAAGACGCTGGCATGAGGTCTCTCCTGTAGTCAGCTTAGAGCAGCAATCCCGATTAGGTCGTGTCGAACAAACTATTTTGTATGTAAGACAGAGTACAGGGAGATGTGTGGAAAGTGCACGGACAATATAGCCTCGGACCTTACAAAGTGAGCTTGAACCGACTAATGTGGGCTAATGGACGAGATCCCTCGCACGCCCACGATGCAACATGGATTGCGACGTGACGGCTCATTCGAATACGCACAGGTTTGTTGAGCTATAGGGCAAACAAGTTCAGATAACTCGTCCGAGCACACCCCTCCCTCGTTTTAACAGGATGAGAGGTAGTTCCCATTTGAGGGCTTTGACGGCTAATGCGGTTTGCTTTGCCTCTTCGTACATTTCCAGTCCACTTTATGTCAAGTTATCAACCATGTTATGCCAGCAATCTGATGTAGGGCTGCTGCTTGCTTTAGCATCTGAGAAGTCGTGAGCCGAAGAATGCACGTTCTGTGGGCTTGCGGGTGGCTCTACCTGATTTTACTCAGCCAATGCAGTCATGAGTTGTGCTTTTTAACCTTTACATTTCGAAATGAATGGAAAAACAGAGCCTAAATCCTTACGATGTCTTGATCATTCGTTTCGTTCGCCTGTATGGTTGCTCACAGTTCCGAATTTCCATGTTTTCGTAGTTTTCCCAAGCTCGATGCTCGCCTTGGGCAGTACATTTCTAAACAATCAAGCTTACTAGAAAAACTGATTGATTGTAACTGGATATTTTTGGGAAATCGATGAATAATCTGACATATATTATGATATATTTCCGAGATAACGACAAATTATGTTTCTTACTGTGATTTTGCAAACCTATTTTTGTGATTGGAGGATGCAGGACATCTTTACTGACGCTTCGCCTCAACTTCAGCAGTTATATAACAATGTTAAGAGTTCATTTTCGAGGCTTCTCCTCCGCAGTCGTCCTTTATAGAGAAAAACGGACTTATTCTGGTGAACGTATTCAGTGGCTCTGAGCACGAGTTGTTAGAGTATAAGGAACTCAAGCGATTCTGCACTATTGTAAAAAAATCACTTGAAAAAGTTTTGGGACCAAACTCGAGGGCGTGGCGCAGTCCAAGGTGGAGCTTTGCCAAACCATGAAAACGCTTATTCATAGATCTCGACGAGTTTAATATGAATTTGATGTGATGGTATCTCCAATATGGAAAAACTCGCCATTAAACGGAGGTATAATAAAAAACGAAAAAAAACGCGAAATTGTGAACTCGCGTGAAATTTTGAAGTTTTACGGCGAGTAACGTATATTATTTCCTGTGACCTTTCTTTAATCATCAAGCATTGCTGTCCTCATTGAACAACTTTACACGGACAGTTGTCGCGAGTGAAACTCGATAGCACATTTGCTTTCAAAGAATGTTTGAGCGCCTATCCAAAGATTAGGGATCCTCTAGGACTAAGCGCAGCTTAGAAGTGGCAGAAACTTTGGGGAAATAACAAAGTATTAGCTCACTTAATTCCTCGATTCTTTTCCTCCCCACGGTCCAGTATCAGTCTAAATAACAAAAAGTAGACGTTTTACGTGAGTTTTGAAAGCGTTGCCATTAGAAGTCCCCGTATCTTGCGAGAACGCCAAATGTTGCGCTCTTTGAAAAGAATTGCAGAATCGGGATTAGTGGTCGGTATGTGCCGAGCTCACCTACGGCGCCAGTAATATATCAGGGTAAGACAGCCGCGACAGCACAGCCGTAAACAAGTAAATGATGTGACTAACCTTCAGTCGATCTGTGTGCTTGCAGTCGGTACGAGTCAGTTGTGAACCCTGAAAAATGAGTCTATAAATCCAGTCTATTATAGGATCATAAATATTTGAACCCGAACGAATCTACCCTATGAAAATAGATTACACACATAGAATCTAATGACTTGTTCAAAATTCCCTCAACACTAGTATAGTAAAGAAAGAAACGCAGAAACAAAGAAAAATCGCTTGGCGTTCTGGCACCCTCTCGCGTATGACATGCTTTCTCGCGTTTTCATTCTCCTTGCAGCGCTGCCTCTCTCACACTACGGCGGCGGCGACTTCACAGGGAACTTCAATGCTTCCTGTAGCGGTTTTGCTTTTTCTCCTTATTCTTATCAAATTTTCTAACAATTGACAACGAATCGATCCGACCCGGGCCTTTAAGGAGGTATTCAAGTTCAGGAAGTCTATACGCTCCCACTCAATACATAAGTATATGTTTCCGCATTCGCCTACTCCCCTTTTATCCCTAAATGCGGAGTATGAACGCGGTCTAAAAAGGAAAAAATGCCATCTATGAATCCGATATAATAACAGCTGACATGGCACAGCCAAACAGCCACCTCTTTCGGGACTCGCACATTTCCTCAGATCGTTTAGCTAAAAGAATGAAAATGTAGTTCGGAGGGGGGGGGCACCCTATCTAATCGAAGTGGAGTTGCGGAAAGACACTCATATCTAATCAAGGTAGAGTTGCGGGAAAGCATTTATATCTTATCATATCTTTCACTGACAAGGGAGGTCGTTTAGGGTAGAAAGCTTTCGAAACGGTTCCTGCATGTTATAGGAGCTCATGCGTGGACTACGAAACCGAGGTCCATTTTCGCTGAGCGGCCCCGCGAAGGCCAAAAAAGGTGAGGAAATGGTCCAAGGTTCAATCCCTCATGATGACAAAATTTTTGCATTTAGGTTGGAGCTTCCAAATTGCTCCAAATAGCGCCAGCGCCAATATAGATATGATATTATAAAGACCATCAGTAACTATTGCTTTCAGTTTTTTTTTTACCATGATCCGGCAGAAAAAAAAGTTGTCGCGCCAGAAGGGTGCCAAATGGCGAGTGTGGCCCGCGACCAGTGCGCGTTTTTGTCATATTTTTATGGCTAAAATGGCTGCTACCTTGCTGGCTCTTCACTTTCACCAAACCTTCTTGCGACTGCCATGCGAGCCCTCGAAGAAAGGGCCTTTCAGGTATCCGATTTTGTATGGAATCTCGGGTTGGTATCCCTATCTAATCATACACTCAGAGACTGTGCTCTGGATTAGATATGACCGCCCTTCCGCAGCTCCACTTCGATTAGATATTGTCAGTTCGATTAGATATTATGAGTGGCCCCCCCCCCGAACTACATTTTCACCGCTAAAAGCTATACATAGGCACTAGGTTTCGCCAAATTCTCAAGAGCACTATTGCCTCGAATGAAGCAATAAAAAAGTTATTACCACACTGGTAACTGTTTCTCATGTGTTCTGTTGCTTTTAGAGGCTATTCAATGTCTATTAAGAAGATCGCCAGACTCACTGATTTTCGGCAGTCAGTTTGTACGAGTGTCAACTGCATGTTGTACTGAATGCCATTGTGCATTTGTTGATGAACTTGGTCAATCGTGTAGACGTCCCATCGGTACAAATCGTTTGATTTCGCGTTCAAATCATCGACTGCTTTCTGTGCCAACTCCTTAAAAGCTCGCTATTAAAGGGGTATATGGGTGGTCAAGCCAATAGTGCCAAAAACGTAGATTTGTAGTTGGAAAACCAAACCTATTTTCGAATCCCACCCCTTTAGAAAAAATCGAAAAATATTCGAC